TCTTAGCTCATGTGTTTGTTGCACTTCTTCATGTTTGTCCTCCTCATTTTTCTCATCTTGAGCTTCCTTGGTGTTGTCCTCCTTGAGATTTATATCTTTTATTTGTTTTCCAATGGCATCTACATCATCATCATTACAAGACTTTTTAGAGCAAATAGGGTTAGTCTCATCAAATATCACATGAATAGATTCCTCAACAACTTTGGTATGTTTATTATACACACGATAAGCTTTACTAGAAGTAGAGTATCCAACAAAGATGCCTTCATCACTTTTAGAATCAAATTTTCCAAGAGAGTCCTTTCCATTGTTCAAGACAAAGCATTTACAACCAAAAGCTCTAAAGTAGGAAATCTTAGGTTTTCTTCCTTCGTAAATTTCATAAGGGGTTTTATTAAGAATAGGCCTCACCATAACTCTATTCAACAAATAACAAGAGGTTGCAACAGCTTCGGCCCAAAAGGATTTTGGCAAATCATTCTCACAAATCATAGTCCTTGCCATTTCCTCAATAGTACGATTTTTCCGTTCAACCACCCCATTTTGTTGAGGAGTTCTAGGGGCTAAAAAATTATGATCAATACCATGTTCAATGAAAAAATCTTCAAAGTCATTATTTTCAAATTCTCCCCCATGATCACTTCTAATAGAAACAATAGTTAAACTTTTCTCATTTTGAAGCTTTTTATAAAGACATTTGAAAGCATCAAGTGCATCATTTTTATGTGCAAGAAAAGCAACCCATGTAAATCTAGAATAGTCATCAACTACGACAAGCACATATGATTTTCCTCCAATGCTTAGAGTGCGCATAGGTCCAAACAAATCCATATGAAGTAACTCAAGAGGTCTATTTGTAGAGATGCACTTCTTAGTCTTAAAGGAAACTCTAGTTTGCTTACCCTTCGTGCATGCATCACATACACTATCAATATTTACATTCACCCTAGGCAAGCCATCAACAAGATCATGCTTTAATAACTTAGAGATAACACTCATGCTAGCATGTCCTAATCTTCTATGCCACAACCAAGTATCACCATGAGATATAGAGGCAAGACAAATATTAGCATCAATATCATGCAAATCAATCACATACACACTTTAAAGTCTCTTGCCAACAAACAACACTTGATCATTTCTAGAATCAATAATCTTGCAATGAGACTTGAAAAATATAACATTAAGCATGCGATCACAAATTGACTAATACTAAGCAAGTTATGCTTCAATCCATCCACATACCAAACATCATCAAAAGAAATAGATTTGTTACCAATTTTACCAACTCCTTTCACAATTCCTTTCCCATTGTCACCAAAGGTCACGGTTCCACCATCCAAGGGCATGAGTGATGAGAATTGTGAAGGATCACCCGTCATGTGCCTTGAGCATCCACTATCTAGATACCATTTGTTCTTCATTTTGCTCACAAGGCACACCTCCTCGTCATTGTTGTCATCCTCTTGAGCCATGAAGCAAAGATTTGCAACACCTTTCTCCAAGGAGCTTTCACTTTCCGTTGAGCTAGTTTCATCATCGCTCCAAGTGGCGGCAAATGCTTTCTTCTTCATACTCTTCTTGTCTTTCTTCTCACCTTTCTTCAATTTGGGGCATTCATTTCTATAGTGCCCCATCTTGTTGCACTCATAACATTTCACACTCTTTTTGGTAAATTCTCCTTCATCTCTTCTTGCAAGCTTGCTCTTGATGTTCTTCTTCATAAATCTCCTGACTTCTCTAGAGATTAAGGAGGAGAAGTTTTCACCATCACTAGCATCATCTTCACTCTTTTCCTTTTGGTTGCTAACTTTGAATGCAACATCCTTTTTCTTCTTCTCAACTATTTCAACTCCACCATCACCTTGCACTTCTATCTCATATGTCATCAATTTACCAATGAGATCTTCAAGCTTGAGAGTGTTGAGATCCTTAGATTCTTCAATTGCCATCTTCTTGGCTTCCCAACTCTTAGGCAAGCTTCTAAGAACCTTTCTCACCACTTCTTGAGGCAAGTTTCTAAGAACCTTTCTCACCACTTCTTGAGGAGGATAGACTTTACCAAGAGTCTTGAGATTGGTGACTATGTCATTCAATCTTGTATACATATCTTGAATGCTCTCCTCCGATTTCATCTTGAAAAGCTCATACATGTAAGTGAGTCTATTGATTTTTGACTCCTTTACTTGGCTTGTTCCTTCATGAGTGACTTCTAGCATGTCCCACATCTCCTTAGCCGTATCACACCCGGAAACTCTTTGGAATTCCGTTGGATTGAGAGCACATTGAAGCATGTTGATTGCTTTGTTGTTGATCATGATCTTCTCCAAGTCTTCATCATTCCAATCTATCTCTTCCTTTGGCACCTCCCTTTCTCCAACAATTTTCATGGGTACATATGAACCTTTCATAGTCACAACCCATGCCTTGGGCACATTTGCAAGCATGAAGACCTTCATCCTATTCTTCCAATAATTATAATTAATACCATCAAAGAAAGGAGGCTTAGTGGTAGACAAACCTTCAAGTGGTTGAGAAGATAGAAATTGAGCCATTCCCGATCAACTCCGAGGTGGTTAAACCTTCAAATTGGAGCCCTTGCTTTGATACCAATTGTTGACTCAATGCACTCCAAGAAGGGGGGTGAATTGGAGTTGGAGAATTTTCCCCTCTTTGCAACCACCAAACAAAAATTAAAGAAAGAGTTGAGAAGAAGAGCTTACACAATGATTTTATAGAGGTTCGGTTCAACCACTTGGAGTCTAATCCTCTACCTTGGCTTCACTCACCAAGGATTTCCTTCACACTCTCCATTAACAAAAACAATGGTGGCTTAAAGGAGCCACTCAATCCTTTACAAGAAGAAGGGTTTCTCTCAAATCTCACCCCTTTACACTTAAACCCAAAAGATCCTCTCTATAGATCACTCTTGAAGGAATCAACACACCCCCAAGATCACTCACTAATAGCACAAAAAGAGGATTACAAATAAAGATCTCTCAAAGATCAAAAACTCAAGTTAAATCTCATGTAGGTAGGTAAGGATATTCAATACAATGCTCTCTTAACCTCTTCAGATCTGTTACCAACCATATTTATAGCCCCTTACTCAAAAATAGCCATTTATAGCCATTGGGGGTCATTAAATGCCTTGCAGGACGCAAAGCTCGAGCTGCAGGATTGTCAGGAGAGCCGACTCTGCAGAGCCGGCTATCCAAGTTTGCAGGCCATTCTGTTTTCCTCAAGAGCCGGCTATAAGACTTTGAGCCGGCTTTTGAATTTCGATTTTAAATACATTCAAAAGAGTCGACCGTTGTGCATTAAATGCACCCTCACAGCCAGCTACAAAGTTGGAGCCGGCTTTTTGTCTTTTCTCTGCGCGCGCCAAACAATGGTCTTCAAATTTTTGCCTGTAGAGCCGGCTGCAGCTTCCAGAGCCGGCTCTCTGCACATTTTGAATCCTTTTGGTCTATTTTTAGTGTAATCCAAGTTTACTTGCAATCTTTTAGCAACTTAACTACACACTTAAATAAACCAATTAGTCACTCAAATGTGTTTTGTAATCGTCAAAATCATAGGTACAACAAAATCCTCCCAAATTTCACCAAAATAACTCACCCAAACACAAACCCACACCATTTTTTGCCCATTCCTCTAAGATTCGTGCATTATCTCCCAAAATGGTGAGGATTAAAAGAGTTGTAAAGAAAGCAAGGGGGCAGGCGGCAAGCACGTCTGGAAGGCGTCGCAGGGTTGAGCAAAATCCTAAGGAGAACAGTGAAAGCATAGACACCAAGCAGGTATTTCAACCCAATAACCCTTGAAACTTTATACCTCGAAATGCTATAGAAGCATATAATAAATTAGGAAATAGGAAAGTCATTTATGGTTTTAAAGTAGTTTTGGACGATATATGCAAAGGGGGACTGCATATAAGAGAAATGTTAGATACAATGGGGTGGACTGAATTAGTAAGTAGAATGATGAAGGTTTACCCGCAATTGATAAAGATTTTTTTTATGCAAATTTGAGTGATTCGGAGGATGGAGGATATAGAACAATAGTTCTTAAGAAAACTTTTGAATTTGATGCTGAAACCATAAATGATGTTTTACATTTGCCAAATGAGGGAGCCATCAAATTGAATGCATTTACAGAGGAATCAGGAAAGAAATTTATCATGGGGGATGAGTACAATGAGGGACAAACATTAACCATTCACCACTTGAATTGGGAGAATCAGTTAATGTTTTGGATTTACAATCACATAATTTTGCCAAGGGGTTCTTTTGGGAAATTTAGTGGTCCGGATTGTGTGTGGTTTGTCCGGATTGTGTGTGGTTTGCATATATTCTTGATTAGAGGCAGATCAATTTAGGACACCATATTATGAGACAAATGGTGTATTATAGGGGTAGATCGACACTTGCACTAATGTATGGCACTCTCATCACATTACTTATGGAAAATGCGGGTGTTGATTTGCGTGGTATGGAGTCTCGAGACGTACATAGTCATGAGCTTCTGAATGAGAGTTCACTGAACAAAATGGGGTATGTATTCAATGTAAGAACAAATTCTTAAAAAATGAAGCAGAAAAGAAGAAGAGGAGGACAAGATGATGAAGGTGAGGGGTTTGATGATGAAGAACATGCCGAATAAACTGAAGAAACAGGTCCCTCTCAAGCTACTTCATCTTGAGTTCCTCAGAGATTAACCACACAGGGAGGAATGCAGCTCATTCTTAAGAGACTTGCATGGATTGCATCGAAGCTTGATGATCACATTCGCGGCTGTCAGATGGGAGCACCTATAGGTCCTCGAGGGACAAGAGGAGATCCATCTACTGTTGGCACATCCTCTGGACAGCAACCCACTGATCCCTTTTCACATCCGAAAGCATAAATCCTCTCGTTGCAGTTGTTGATGGCTGTTAAATTATCGTTTTAGTGTTTGAACACTCCTTTGAAGGTTTTCTTAATGTTCTGACTTTTTATATTTTTGAATATGTACATATAATGTTGACATTAGATGCAGTTTAATTTAATACAGTTTTTAACATCAATGAGGATAGCATAATTCAATGTTTTGAAAACCGAACCGGAGGTCAGACCGTTTTGACCTTCGGTTCTCGATTTGATCGGTTTAATCAGTTTAACCGTTCAAACCACTGGTTTAACCCCATATGAATAAATATAATATGGTATGATGATCTAACAAGAAAAGTATAATGGCTAGGCTGGTTTGTCACTTCATCCATGGCAATGGAAACGTGTGTTCGAACCTGGTGGGTATCAAAATGTTATTATCACATTTCTAAACTTTTCAAGTAACTTAATTTTTTAATTAATTTATATAAAAGATTATAAAGATTAATTTTAAATTAATTAATTAATCAATTAAAATCATCTATATAAATATCAATTTTTATAACTTTTTATATAAATTAATTATAAACACATGTAAA